TTAAATTATTAACATAAAAATATTTTGTCCAAATCCTTATTCATTTTTCACACCCTTCTCCTCACGAAAGATTTCAATCAATTAGTCTCTTTCGTATAAAATATTGGACAACCATGTTCAATGTATCTATAACTATAAGCACTGAACAAGCTGTCGTTGTTCTGTTTAGGGGCGGAACCAGAATTTTTTTTTAGGGGGACGAGATAATTTTTCATATACTAATTTGTAAAAATTTTCAAATTTCAGGGGCTACAGCACCCCCGGCCCCTCCCCTCCCCTGGTTCCGTTCCATTCATTGTCATTCTTTCCCGCTCTTCCTTAATCTAGGAGTTCTGGACGGCAATGATCATCTTCTCTATACCATGCAATTATCTGTGTTTGGCATTTGGGCTGAAAAGTCGAAGTCAGTGTAAACTTGCGATCTGAGTCGTTTCGTGGAAACCGACTTTGACAGAGTGTGACTTTAAGTTTTTCGGTTGGCTTCACACTTCAAGTATACTTAAACTAAAAAAAAAAATTGTTGTATAATTAAAAGAGATTGGTGTGTATTAATTTTAATTTTTTTTTTAATTTAAGTTTTAATTTATATTTAAAATTTTAATTAATTTTTAAATTTAAATATTAATATTTAATAAAATAAATTTTTAAATTTTAAATTAAATTTCAATTAAGTAAAATAATGTAATTTAATATTAAGATTTTATTTTATTTTTTAAAATCAAAATTGATATATAGTTTTTAATTAAAATTATTAAATAAAAATGAATTCTTATTATAAAAAATTATTTTTATTTAATTAATTATTTTATATTTTATAATTTAATACAATTTAATATATAAAATGACCAACTAAATTAACATACAAAGAGTGTTAGGAACACGGACCTTTTCCATTAGTATATGTATAACGCCCTGTCGCCTTTCATACCACCACTAATTCTTCTTAAGTACGTAATTACGTTTTTTGAAAAAGAAATGTATGCAGTTTTTTCTTTCTGTATATGAATGATTTCATTTAACCTATTTTTTCCACAATCACGATTTTCATGTAGGTGATGTTGTTGCCACGTTATGGTGTGTGAACGTCACATCCAATATGCTCATCGACGGAGCCCAGCAACCCACCGAAACTTTTTGAGAAACATTTAATATAGTATTTTAATTTTTAA